TTAAGAGGCACTCTGAATCCAGTGGCGTAGTGATTTTTTTCAATAAAAAAATCGCCAATACAAAATCCCGATTTTGACTAAGAAAAAATATCGTAGTATGCCCTGAAACTTTAATAAACATTTCAAATTTTGTCCCAAGGTAGACAGACCTTTTAGTACTTGACATTTAAAAAAAATTATTAAAATCGATTTTCAACTTCAAATTTCAGGGGGGTGTTTCCATTAAAAATGGGTCACACTGTATATGCAAGTATAAATTTATGACAGACTTTGGCACTTGCACATGTTTGGTTCAGATATTTTAATTGTTCTTAAAAATAACGTTTATAAGATTCAGTCACAAAAATACAGTACACAAAGGTTGAGTAGTAAACATTAGAACAAGTGAACAATAAAGTCTTGGAGTTTCCTTTTTTTTCAATAATTGGAGTTCAAATTCTCGGGAATGAACCGCAACAAATGACAACACAAGTAAAGAGTTCGACTTAAGAATTGAAAAGGTCTAACTTTTTAACGTGTGATTCCTAGCTTGGCCAAAAAACCTATTCAAGTACCAGTAACCTATATAATCAACAAACATGATGCCTACTGATAATTCTGAGTAAAATATGGACTCTTTTGTCTATTGAATAANTAGAAGATTGGTATCACCAGCATAATTGATCATGTGAGTAATGTTTATGTCTGCTATAACCTCATTAATATCGGTGATAAATATAATAAATAATATTGGACCGAGAATGCTACCCTGTGGGACACCCATAGACACATCCAAAGCATCCGATCTTCTGGTTTTCAAATATGAATTGAATCAGTCGTAAATCGTGACAAATCAGCAAAAATATATATTGATTTATAAGGTGTTCGACCAATAATGGTTGTATATTTCAAACCTCAACTTTCAGCAAGCATATTCAATGTTTCAAATTGAAAAAAAAAACATCAGACAGCGCCAACAAGTAATAACCGTGTCAAAATAAAAACCTTTTCAACATTTGGTGGATTTTTTAATAAAATATTTCCTTTCCAGTAGACTGAAAAACAATGAACTGATTAGTCAGCATGTTAAATTTAAAAGTAGCATTTAATGCGTAATATTTTTCTTCAGTTGGATTATATTTGCACTTTCTGGGTATTTTGAAACAGAATTCCTTCGTATTTATTTCTTCATATCGATGAAGATATTTTTTTATCAGAGGCTGGAGTAGATCTAATACTCAACAAATATCACAACAAATACCCCAAAAAAATGGATTGGTCTGCCTTCAAGGAAAGGAATATTTACATAATTGATAGATTTATTTGTACCTGCAGCACAATACCCAAAAAGTGAAAAAAATCATAGGAGAAAGTTTGAGTTTACTGAAAATTATGACGCATGCTTATTGTCAGATACTATATAATAAGGGAAATGTGAGAAAATTGCGAAAATGATATGTCATTCGATAATGAATAACAATATTTTTGAATAACAATAACAATATTTTTTAGATATCTAATAAATTTTCAATTCTAAACTAAGTCTATCAGAATATATTGATAAATATCTTAAATTGGCAACATATTTCCAATCCAGCTAATCAGGTTTCACTTTATATGTATTTTACAACTGGATGAGGATTGTAAATTAATCTAGGAAAAGTAATCAAACCATGAAAATTTTTGAACATCAGATTGCTCAAAATAAAAGCAGAATCATATTCAAAATTTAGGATATAAACAGTTTTCGATAAATGGTGTATGTGGACTCATCAAAAAATAGGGTGAATTTTCAAATTTCGTGGCTGCATACATTCAATTAGCGATTTTTTGATTTTTTTATGTTGGTATTCTCTTCTCGAATACTCTACAATTTAAAATATTAAATATCTGTGTATGGTTTATTTAATATTCCAACACAATTGGAAAAGAATACATAAGACTAAAACAATATATTTTTAAATACCTTGACAATTTTGTAGTTCTGAATATTTTATTTGGTTTATTATTCTCAGTGTGTCCTTTTATTTATAAGTGTGTTTGCATTGTCCCTACTATAAACATGTAATGTTTCTTGGGATCAATAAAATTTATCATTATTATTGTTGTTTAAAGTATTGTTTGAAGAAAACTACAAGTCACAAAAATCTGCATATTCATCCACTTGATGTGTAACTTCAAATATAAAGACTTCCAATTTGAAATTTTATTCACAGTTAGTCTGTATTTCAACATTAACTGTTAAGAGTAATAATACCCATAAGTTTATTTAACAAATTGCAACAGAAGTACAAATATGACATTTACAAACATTAAACTAATGATTACAACTTAACGGACAAATTATAGACGTTGCTTGGGGACTTGTTAATATACTGAATAATGTGAGTGTAATTAAATATTAATCTTGTATTGTATTGTTTGTATTGTTGTTGCTAATAACCCTTCGTGGTTGATGCAACTTTCTTTCATAATAAAAAAAAAATACAAAACTTAGAATTTCATCCACACTATCACTATAGAAAAGGTCAATGAGATAAATAATAAAAGTTGCATCAATATTCAAATAATTTCATTAAAATAGTTGTCTGTCAAAATTTTGATGAATTATATGACAATCCAGTTTGATGGAAAGCGTAAATGAACTATCATTTTCAATTTTTTCACATTATTTGGTAGTCTATGAGTATGACCGATGTAGGAATGCTACTGACACATTTTATTTTCTCCAAGCTGGCGGTCAATTTCCTCCATCGATGCCTTCATACACCCAGGGGACTTATACATGTACGCATCATCCAACAGATTTGGTATATGATCGATAAGGCTGAATTGCAATTGGCGTAATTTATAGATTTTGTTTCTGCGAAATATTTAGAGCGTATTTGTTTTTATTCGACTGGAGATTCAAGGAATATATGTGTGCAAGTATTTTCATTTAACAGTTTTTGCATTCAGGGAATATATCACTGTTTTACAGAGTGTTTGATATGTTTGTGGATTTACCCTGGAAAAAGATGTCGACACATTTCAATCAACTTTATTATATTTGTTATTAATTGTATTCAAATCTCTGATATTCTTCAAGAACAAATTTTCTCTGACATTCATGTGAACACCCCAGGGTCAGTATACAATATGGGCATGATGATAGATACCTAAATAGAACTTTCCAACTTATACAGTGCATTTCTTTAATGTTATTTTGAAGCTCCTGACGAATACTTCACAACCCTAGAATATGAAGTCAATATCTTCATCTACCACAAAATGGCGGAACATTTATCATTTTCCTGAAGACAAACACGTTAATACCGATATTTATAGAAATACTCTTTTTTATCTGCCATATGGCAATTCCAACAACCCGATATGGTTTGTTCAGTTATTTTTTGTTTATAAAAACTACAAAAAATGTCAGTACTCATTTAGTTTTCGGTTTTACTAGTAGAAAGGTACCACGTCAACAATCTCTGAAATGGCCAATTCTCGTCCATTAGAAGAAAAAAAATTGAAGCGATTTTTAATTACGGTGCGACGCGTAACTTTCACGAGACCAAAAGGATTTTCAATGAAAGTTTTCCGAATCGTCCTATCTGTAGAAAATATAACATATACATAACAAAAAGCCCCCAGGTCATCAAAACAGCAAGTGCAAATAATTGGTGAGATGGTAGTAAATACTGAACAGTCTACTTATTCCGTCGCGAATGTTTGTGAGGTGCCTCCTTCTACTGCGTGGAGACTTTTGAAGAGGAATAGGTATCATCCATACAAAATTAAAATGGTACACCAATTAACTGAAGATGACCCTGATCGAAGAACAGGAGTCTGTGAAATCATGACGGAAACCATTGCAAGGCATCCTACCTAGCTCTACAATATTTGTTTAAGTGACGAATGTACATTTTTTTTAAACGGCAATGTTCACAGACAAAATTGCCGTTATTGGAGTGATACCAACCCTCACGTTTTCCGGGAAACATATTCCCAATATCCAGAACAAATTAACGTTTGGGCAGGAAACCATATTGTCGGACCGCTGTTTATTGATCAAAATTTAACAGGAGAACTGTATTTGAATATGCTGACAACTACTGTTGACCTTCTCATCACTGAAATCGTCGAAGCGAATCCTGATGAATTTGATATGGATATTGTATTCCAACAAGATGGAGCACCACCACATTCCTCCAGACAAGTAAGAAACTATTTGGATACTACTTTTTCCGGTGTTTGGTGGCCGTCGAGGTTCTACAGAATGGCCAGCTCGCTCTCCAGATTTGACACATTTGGACTTTTTTATGGGGCTATTTGAAGACTTACTTAAAGGATGAATTCAAAGGATTATTGACACTAATTTGTACGGATAATGAGAAAGTTATTATAGGAGGGGATTTTAATAAGAATTTTTCAAAAAGTGGCTCAAATATGAACTTGCTAGAGAATTTGATAGCCGCGTACAACATAATGTGTACAATATATGAACCAACCCGAGTGACAGCCTTCTCGAGCACGTGCATTGATAATTTTCTGAATTGGTCAATTAAAATCCACGATGAAGTGCACACATTGTGGACACTCATTTGTAACCTTCGATCCTTTCCTCATACCAGAAAGGAGTAACCAATTGAGTTTATCACAGTGCTTGGATTTCTTCACAAGAGAGGAAACTTTGGATGGACATGAAAAACCGACGTATTCAAGTTGCAAAGAAAGAAGAATTCACAACGTCTCTATCGATCCATAAGTTTTCCATATTTTAGTTATTCATTTTAAAAGATTTTCTCTAACAGAAAGATTCAGAGGCAAGTTGAATGTTGTCATCGAATTTTCTCTAGATTGGTTAGATATGAACAATTATGCAGCAGATAATGTGACTCCTTGTCGCTATAATCTATATGCACTTTCGAATCACAGTGGGTCTACCTACAGCGGACATTATACAGCATTCTGCCGACATCCTTTTAATGGCACGTGGCACGAATACAATGATTCACAAGTGTCACCAATTTCACCAAAATCGCTTGTGAGTGGAGATGCATACATCCTCTTTCATGAAAAGGAGGAAACGAGTTCGCACCTTTGAGCGTTTTGTAAAGTTATTTTTGAACTGTTCATTTTAATGTTATATAAGTTATGTATATATTTCCAATTTGTATACACAATTACATAAAAATTTTCTCATAACCAAAATGGCAGATTACGAGGTAAAGATCAAGGATTTTCATTTATCAGATCACTATGGACAAATAATTGAATTCCCAACAAAAATACCACCAATAATTCCAATGTTCCAAGTTCTTATTTTTTAAGTTTCTCAGAGAAAAATATCTCAGATTTTAAAATACTACTGGGAAACGAGAACTGGCAGAATGTTTACAAGGAAACATGTCCTAACGAAGCATATAATAGATTTCATGAAATCCTTCAGGTATCTTTTCCATTCAAATAGACAAAAAAAACAAAGGAAGTCAACTCTAACCCCCTTACCCCCCGAACTCTATAACCTGAAGAACATGGTTTCTCTATATTCAGAATGGGCGAGAGTAAACGAAAATTTCAAGGATATATGTCGCCAAGTAACTGTAACATACAGGGATAAACTAAAGCAGAATAGTCAAAGATGCATTGAGCATAAGATAAATAGTTCTCACAATAAATCAAAAACCATGTGGCAAACTATAAATAATATCCTGAAAAAAAAACGATATTTCCATTTTTACTGGAGAACATAAGGTGTCATGTGTTGACATGGCTAACAATTTTAATGCTCATTTCACGAAAGCGGAAGAACAAAGAGAATATGACCTAAATTTTATGGAAAATATAGTCGCACTCTGCTCAAACTCCATATTTCTCCACCCAATCAAGGAATATGAGGTTTTTGATTTAATAAATGAATTAAAGAATTCTAATGCTAGCGGATATGATCAGGTTTCAAACGATCTTCTGAAAAAATGCATGGAAAAAATAGTCTACCCCCTGACCTATCTGATAAATATTTCTGTGGAACGAGGAATGTTCCCTGAGAAATTAAAAGTGTCAATCGTTACCCCTATCTTTAAAAAAAGAGACTCAAATAGCCATGAGAACTATAGAGAGGTAAGTCTTCTCTCTAGTATATCCACGTTATATGAAATGAATATTAAAAATCAGTTACTATCGTTTCTTCTCAAAAATGAATTACTTTCGACAAACCAGCATGGTTTCATGCAAAATAAAAGCACGGAAACAGCTTTGCATGATTTCATAGAACACGTAGTAACATCCTTGGATAACAAACTACAAATTTGTGGTTTGTTCATCGATTTTTCTAGAGCATTTGACTGTGAGGATCACTATGTACTAATCCAGAAAATGCGTCGCTATGGGCTTCGTGGAGTTGCCCAAGATTGGATGGGGTCCTATCTAGAGAACAGGTCACAAACAGTGATAATTCAAGGTGTTTACAGTCAGTCCTTGGCCTGCAAGCAAGGAGTTCCACAGGGGTCTATACTCGGACCACTGCTTTTTCTTATTTATGCGAACGACTTGATACAATACCTAAATAGTCTTTCAAAGGTACATATAGTTGCTTATGCAGACGATACAAATGTTGTGGTCACTGATTGTAATACATTAGCACCTGCAGAAAAAACAGAATCCATATATGAGAAAATAATGAAATGGGCTGATAAAAATCATTTTGCACTAAATATCAGCATTAGCAACAGCATTAGTCAAATTCTCAATGCAGAATACCATCGAAACTCTTAAAATATATGAAGATAGCCAACTAGAGGTGACATCCAAACCAGACACAAAAAGGTTAGGGCTAATTCTAGATCATGAGCTCAATTGGGGTCCTCATATAGATTCACTATGTGATAAACTACGAAAGAACTGTTATGCACTGAGATTTATGTCGAATCATTGTGGAAGAGAGGTTCTCCTAAATCTGTATTATGCAATTATTGGCTTTCACTTGCGCTATGAGATCTTGAATTGGGGTATGAGCTCCTCTGTTCAAAGAGTATTTATTTTACAAAAGTGCGCAGTTAGAATAATTGCTAGTTTAGGATGGCGACACTCATGTAGAAGCTCATTTAAAGAGCTGGAAATACTCACAGTTGCTGGTCTGTATATATACGAGATGTGTCTCTTCGTTTATAAGAATAAAGAAAAATTTTGCGCAAACCAGCAAGACCACCCATACGCAACTTGAGCTAGAGGGTTGTTGATAGCGAATCCTCACCGAACCTCCCTCTATCAGAAGAGTCACCTATACCTTGGGCCCAAATTATATAACAAGCTAGATGTTTCTATCATAGACTCAATGAACATCTGCATATTCAGAAGACAACTGAAAAAATATCTCATTGAAAGAAACTGCTACACCGTTGACGAGTTTTAATAGTTACCCTCGGTAAAAAAAAATTGTTAAATACCTTTATATGTAAAGTTTAGTATCTGTCATGTTTTGTTGTTTTATATTTCTATATATATTTGTTTTTAGTTATACATGGGCGTGCTCCTTGTTACTGTATGTAAATGTTTATTGTAATGATTTCATATTGTTCAACAAGTGAAATAAATATTATTATTATTAAGGTGTACGAAACTGAACCTGCTTCAATATTGGATATATGTTAAGAAGCTCAAGGCAACCATTTTGAGCATCTTTCGAACTGACCTCAAGCTTATTATCTCATATTATGTAGTTGAATGGCAATGTATTCAGGCGCCCAGTAGCCATCTTGAAAGTTTCATCTGTCAATTTCACTTCAAAATAAAGTATTCATGCATTAATTTCATTATCCCAAATTTCAATTTATTGAGTTGACCCGTAAAAAAAATAAATGGGGAGCAGAGGACATTAAAGAAATGCACTGTATGAACAGTAACAAAATAGAGGTCATTGGATTGACCAAGAACAGTTTTCAGATAAGTTATTTCCTAGATATTAGGTTGACTATACTTGTTTTAGAAACTTTGGGGACTTATATAAACTTTCACTTATTTATGAATGAATGATTATTTTACAACCAGACACTTGCCTAGTATGAAATCTTGATAGATATTATCAAACACTAACTTGATTCAGTGGCGCCATTGCAATATTTTCTATTATAAAAAATGTAGATGATTAGTATTGTTCTTATTTAGTAACATTACTTGAATCTCCAGTTGTTTTATCTGAGCGTTTGCTTAAGTTATTGAAATGAGTATCAGTTGAAAGAAAAAAGTGTAGCGTCAATAAAAATGTGAAACCTCAATAAAAGTGCCAAGCGTCAATATAAATGCGAAGCGTCACAAACATTGCAAAGCGAATGCGTACTCTTCAAATATGTCTTTATTTTTGACTGATTTTGAAATTACCAGGGTTTTCCAAAGGGTGGAAAGAGACGTTTATGAGTGGAGATCAGGAACCGTGGGTTTTCCGTGGAGGTTTGACAGCAGATTTGCAGGTAACTTATATACTTTTTTGCATTGTAGTATGAATAATTGTAATTGCAAATTGCATTGTCATGCTACAGATCGTTGTTATTCAAGCTTGAAGGTATTCTAAACTAATAGAAAAAACGCATTATAATGAAAGTGTGAATGAAAGTGTGATGAATTAGTATGAGGGCAAGAGTTATAGTCTATTCATTCCCAGTTGGAACGGCAATAAAAATAAGAGTACAGTTATCAACATTTCTTACCTGTGGCTCCTAGTCGCCCAGATAGTTAGTAAACGTGCTATCGAATGTAGTTGAGGAATAAAGGCTCGGCTAGCTGTACTGGCTGAATACTAATTTTTTGTCCGTTTCACAATATTTCTTTATCAGTGCCGTGTGTTCGTGGGGTTAGGTGAGGTAGTGAGTGGTTTTGCAAACCGATTTTTGAAAACTTTTTCTAGAGATCAATTACCCTAACAACAAACTGATATTTTTGCACTCGACGCGCGTTTCGCTAACAAGGTTAGCATCTTCAGGAGAAGCAAATTGATACTGAATCTAAAGACAAGGGTTAGCTGTTTATATAACTAAAGTTTTTTGGTCCGATGTGGACTTTGCTTGTTAAGTGATGATTATCCTAATTGACTTTTCGGTAATTAACTAGTGGAACCACTACCTGCAAATTAATTTGTCAATAATATATTAACAAGTGGACAAATCAATTTGCAGGCAGTGGTTCCACTAGTTAATTACCAAAAAATCAATTAGGATAATCATCATTTAACAAAGTCCACATGGGACCAAAAAACTCTAGGTATGTAAACAGCTAACCCTTGTCTTTAGATTCAGTATCAATTTGCTTCTCCTGAAGATGCTAACCTTGTTAGCGAAACGCGCGTCGAGTGCAAAAATATCAGAAATTGATCTCTAGAAAAAGTTTTCAACTTTAACACCAAAGGTTTCAATCTCATCGTTTGAACCGATTTTTGTGAAAATCTTAGTGTTTTTGGGTACTTTCATCAATATGGCTTTCTGAAGACCTTTTGAAACGAATGATAACATTACGTGTGAGGAATCTGTGTCAATCGACAGGGATCCGGAATTTGAAAATAAGGACTTACATGTTCAAGTTCCGCGAATAATTCAAAATATTCATGAATGCTTGATGAAGGAAAACTGTCACACTTTACAGAATGCTATTGTGGATAGAATATGCTAGTTAACGAAACTATCTCGTGCGACAGTTCTTCGAGTCATTGAAATAGGGGATGTCATTGACCATGCAATGAAACGAAAACAAAGGAATAAAAAATTCGCAAATGTTGATGGTACTACAAAAGATGTGATTCGGCGAACAATTTATGGTATATACCAAAAAAATGAAGTACCAACCTTGGAAATGATTTGGTATAAATTACATCGACTATCCCGATTACAATTACAAATCTTTAGAAACTCTACGAGGTGTCTTATTGTCTAAAAAATTGAACAATTGGATGGTCATAAAGAAATCGACACGCATTGTTCAACTCCGACAAGAATATTTGAGGCGAATGAAAAGCTACCGAGAATCCAGCAGACATATAATCTACCTCGACGAAACTTGGTTTGACAGCCGTGATGTTGTCAAATATGGCTGGGTAGACGAAACCAAGTATTGTGCTTTGAACACACCTTCTTCAAGAGGAAAACGTGTTATAATTTTGCATGCCGGGAATGAAAGTGGTTTCGTACCTAACGCTTTGCTTCTGTCGGCCAAAAATATAAAAGATTCGTCTGCTGATTACCACGAAGATATGACTGCGGCTTTATTCGAAACCTGGTTCAGTGAGCAGTTCTCCCAAATATTCCTCCAAACTCGGTTATTGTTATGGATAACGCTTCGTATCATTCTCGGTTATTGACTACAATACCAAACAATAACACAAGAAAAGCAGATATTGTTGATTTCATGCGAAGTCATGACATGGAAATACCCGAAAAGATTCCAACGAAAAAGGTATTACTGGCGACCATAAAACAACGTAATTTCAAAAAAGAGTGTATTATTGATTCAATGTGTGAAACACGTGGTCATATTCTCTTACGTTTGCCTCCATACTACTGTGTGTTCAATCCAATTGAAATGGTTTCGGCCACAATGAAAGAAAACTTGCGGAAATTTAATCTGTTTAAAAAATCTGTTTAAAATCTGTTTTTCCGTTAACCAGCTGTCGCACCCCTACGAACGACAACCCTCAGAAGTCGAAATTTGTGCGAGCCAAGGATTACCGAGGTCTTACCTTTTAACGTGTGATTCCTAACACGGGTTGTCGGTTGCAAGTGAAGATCGATCGTTCAGACTAGGGCTTGAACCACCGACCAGCACGGCAGTCAATTCGAGTGAGTGAACAAAGCACCCACACCGAACCGCTTGGCTACCGACTGACCAGTCACCGACTTTGAATGCTGTAGTGCTTGACAATAAAAGGAGAGTGGTGAATGAAGTAGGTAATAGTGATGTGTGGAAGAACTGTGTGGCTCACGTTATAAAAGAAGAGAACAAATATTATGTGCAAAGTTCCATAAATCCGATCGTTATTCAACCCGATGATGATTCCACCTCATCCGAAATAGCGAAGAAGAATTTTGATTTTTCTAGCAATTTTTTTGGCGTCTATTATTTTATAAATATATGATCGACGAGAATTTGGTGTGATTATTTGTGTTTTCATTGTATTTTAGAGTTTTCGACTCGGAAATCAACTACCTTGAATTTTGAAGTTTTTCATAATTACTCATGGTGGAAAAATTCAGTTGAGATCACTTTTTCGGGGGGTGATCAATTGCTATGATTGTAAGAATAAGTAACTGAAAAACTACCACTGAAAAATAATATGCCAACGCCTATGTCGAGGCGGGAATTCCTTCTCTGTGCTGTTCCAATTGGTATTGGAAATACTATAGCTATTTCCATAAGAATTGTTCTTCATCAACCGATTTTTATATATTGACATCAATTGTTGTTTTGTTGCTTTCACTTGATTAACATTGATGCTATCAAGCCCTGAAGGTTTTTTTGGTGAAACTGCCTCTCTCGGTTTCTAATTTGTCAATAGATTTTTGAGACAAATTCAATTTCATAGTTGAATGAAATGCTTATTGAATAGTCTACTTTTTTTTCATTATTGAAGTACTGATTTTCGTATGTGTTTCAATAATTTGGATTTAAAGAACTTTTATCTCTCGGCGGGTACAAGAAAAATTTTTTGTAACTAATCTCTTTCTTATCTATTCTTGAGAGCTGATAAGTTTTTATGCTGATAGATTATTCTACCATTCTACTATAACGTGAATATTGTGAATAAAACAGTAATATCCCCGCACAGGGTGTCCTTCGTGGGTTTCCTGAATTTGTTCAGATTGTTTAAATTGATATTGACTGATCCTTGTACTGAAAATTGAATAAATTCATATTATTATTATTTCTCTCAATCAAATTTCGGTTGTTGGAATCTCTCCTCATGTGAGCTTAGCTCTGGGTCATAGAAAGATTTCATGTCATGTGATATGACATATTGGTTTCCTTCTCTAGTGATTGGTACATTGTATTAGGTTACAAGGGCCCTTTAGCCTCTTTTTTTTGTACCTTGGAAGCTGTCTGACTCGTCCATTTAGTCCAAGTCTCCAGAAAATACTGCAGTCTACTATATTGCAGTAGTTCTTCGGTTCTTTTCTCGGGCGGTTTCCTAATGAAGGTTCTACTGTGTTTGTTGCCAGGTACTTTTTTCCAGTACTCTGTGTGCTTCTCATTGGTTCATGTCCCAATCTGGTTTCGTACCAATGGTTTTGGTACCCTCAGGACCTATATATGTAGTTGATGATCCGCGTCTAGCTCATTCATCAGCTTTATGATTACCTGTGATTCCTGAATGCCTGGCACCCCATACAAAGTTAATTTGTTCCTGTTTGCAAGTTCATTCAGTTCTTCATGGCATTCCCAGATCAGTTTTGATGTCACCTTCAGGTTTGTCAGAGCCCCTAGTGCATAGTTGCCTTTAGCCTCTTACTACAACGATCTAAGAAATTTTTTGTTCATAACCCTAAACCATAAACTATTTGAGCCTCGAAATGCTGAGACTTCTGGAGAGCGTGATCAGTTTTCTGGGGGACAATACTTTGATTTCAAATGATTCAGTGATATATCTTCAAAGAACCTGAGCCTTTTGTTTGATGAGAGCTTTGATATTTGCAGAGCAAATATTCTGCAGTTCAGGTGGCATAGCGATCTGCTCATTTTAAAGGAGTGATTTTAAAGTTCCTTTGATCAAACTTTTCGCTTGTCTTTGTTCCAGCATTTTATTTCAGTAATATCTTAGTTTCTTCAAATGGGACCGTTTTTCCGCGATATTGTCCTCCATACTATCCAAAAAACGCTGTTTAATAGTGGATGTTGATGGTTTTTCACTTTTTGAAATGGTCGATGAATATTATACCATGCGCATCCCATCCCAAAATACTGATATCATAACCTTGCCAGTCACTTCATTAATTATCCCAAATTTTAATGTTTTGAGTTGACCCGTTCAATAAATAAAGGGGGGGGGACATTAAAGAAAAGTATTGTATGTGTACTGAATATGCCGAAAGTTTTGCAATAAATTTTATTTGATTTACCCCATATGCACATTATTTGCAGAACATATTTGTTGATCACTGTATTACTTCAACTTAAATGCATCATTGCTTGAATGAATAATCCTTCATTACCTTTTTTTAAGATTGTCTTTATTCTAGCGACTGATTCCCGTCGATTCGGGAAATGATCTCTTCATCTACAAAGTTCCAGACGTACCAATCAATCGAGTGTTCACAATTCGACCCTATCTGCCAAGCGATGAAAAAGTAGTTTATGACATTTGCACCCGAACTTGTAAAGATGGATTAGAAGACCAACTTCCCTACCCTGAGAAGTTGAAGGATCTCCATGCGGATCGGATTGTTGGTCCTTATTTAACATTACATCCGGAATTTTGTTTCCTCGTTGAAGATGAAACTGGGGTTGTTGGCTATGCTTGTGCGAGTCCAGATTACAAAAAGTTTCGGGTGAAACAAGAGATCGCCTGGATTCCAGAGATGTGTGAAAAGTATCCTCTCGATATAGCCAATGACCTTCACGATTTTGTTCAAGTAAGTTTGGGTCAGATGAATGTTTGCCTTGAATTTGAAATTCATGAAAGATATTTTTTATTTCAAATATGGTTAGACGGATAACACGATACATTTTTCTTAAAGAACAATTGTTTTTACCAACGTTTCCAATTAAATTTTGTAAACTTGTAAGTGGATACCTCACATTTAAGTGTTTTTTGAATATGTAACAAGTAATTGTGATGATATTTATAAAATATTCTGATTATAAATTCTTTCAGGATGCAGTTTCCTACTTTCACACCTTCAAGAATGAAATTTTCGTCAGTAGTCCTTCACATCCCTCTAGTATGATTTGCAGTTTATTACCCTCTGTTTTGGACCAGTCTGTCAGTAAAAGACTTGTTACATGTTTGTTAGCTTCTTTGAGGGCTAACGGTGAGTAAACACATTGAAATTTAGTCTTTGATATTTTATAAATTTATCATTTGAAATCCACGTGAATGGGGAATGTTCCTCCTGACGAAAATCAAATAGTTTTCATGAAGGAGCTCTAAAACAACGCATTTTAAACTTATCATTTCAACCTTTTTCTTTAAAAAATTATTTAAATACTTGAAAAAGAGGAACGAAATAATGCATTCAACATTTAAAGGGATTCGTTTCTATTTCACCATTTGGCAACATCGATTATAGCTAATAAAGGACAATGAATCTGTTACCTGTATGAGACAAACAAAGATGACATATTTAGAAAAAATCCCTTTAAAAATTAAAACCCAACATTTGAAACATCAATTTGAATACTTTTCAAAGTGAATTGAACTCAGATTTATTTTGTTCAAACTTGCATTTGCTGTAATAACCAAAATTGAGAAACATTCCCCATTATAATATCTCCACTGATAATTTCAATCAATACCAATTCATCAGTTTCGATAATAATTACAAGTTAACTGTTTTTCATTATTTTGATTCCTGGACAATAAATTTTGAAACGACATCCATTGCTCCTGTTTCTGTATTTCTAAACTTGTGGAAACCGTACTATATAAAGAGTATTGTTTTCCAAATAACCAGTTGACCATTTATGTATCAATCGTTCTGAAGTTTTGGAAAAAACTGATGATGATACTAAGTTTGATCGGTAGTTGTGAGAGTCATCTTTCTTGACGCTTTTATAAAATACGATTACCTTCAACAATTTTCATACTAATATCAATTCGTATCGACATTTCGAAACAATAAAGAATAAAATTGGTGAAGGTGCAGGTTTGACCTCAAGTAACAAACATTTCGTCAGCTACTGTAGCAGATATCAACAGTGATATATGAATCGACTGCGAGGTATAAGGTTTTAACTCAAAGACTCGGTCAGTCATTGCTGAGACTTTGGGATATCACATTCGTCATCGCAGTCAACGCATATACCACTGACGATGTCTGTCCCAGTAGGAGACGAAACTTTTGGTACTTTAGGTTCCCTTTGACCTCGACCTATTAGCCCGGATTAATGAAGTTATTATGTAGTAATAATAATAATAGTGAAATAAGTTTATTCATGAGGTTTTATAATACATACTTAGGAAATAACATACAAACTTCTAAATAAACGGATAATAAACTTGAAAAGTGAAACATGTGCCAAAGTGAGTCATAAAAAAAATACAATCTCACATATATTCATTTACAAAGTATATGAACAAATGTGAAAAAAAACGAATATATAGATATAAAATATGTGCCTAATAAAAATATATAAATTAAATAAAACTATTCAGAAATGTAGTTGATGAAATATATATCATGATTTATTAAGCAATCAACAAAAAACTCAGGA